GTAGCGCAATAATACACGGAGACAGCGCGAGTCATCTGTGGCAGTCGGTCGCAGACAAGACCGAGTTCCAACTTCGCTAAATCTCAATCCTAACCTCAGAAGCCGCCGGGGCTCCAAATGCCAGCCATTTCAGATTTCGAGCTCGTGCCGTCCTCGTATGGCACCATGCACGGTGCGCACAATTTCAACCGTGACGGTACCAATCTTCAACGCGGCCATGACGACGTATTTCAAGCCAACCAACAGAGCTGCTATCGCGCAAATGACGATAACAACAGTTGGGGACAAAGAGTAAGCGACGGTAATCACGGACAAAGATATCCCCGTCAACGAGACGAAGATCGATAGGGTAGGTAGGCGGGAAAGCCTGGGGTAGAGTTTCATACGAACGCTCATCGCGTCGACCTGGGGGAAAATGAGGGACTTCGAAGGAGACCACAGTACTTCAGACACACCTTGGCAAAGAGCAACAGGCATCCTATCGATATTAACCCCACCGCGGCCGACACCGCTGAAAGGGCCATACAGCGCGCGGACAGCTCTTGCGTATGGATAGGGGGCATTGTGCCAAGCATTACTGCATTGAAGCTAGATGAGGATTAGGCGACCTGCATGTATGATCAGGGGTTTACTCACATAACTAGAAGCAATAGCTGAAAGGCGAGAGTGGGTGAGCCACGGCAAATTTGGAGAACGGTCGATATGTACTCACTGTGGGCCACAAACTCCGGCATTCTTCATCCACCATCGACCGTGCGTCCTGTGCGCTATCCCGATGTTCTTCAGATACGCCACTAATGCGTGGTACTCTTAGAGCGTAAGTCCATGAAATGTATGCCCCGGTGCTCAAGTGATCCGCAGCCGGTGTTCGACCGATGCTGCTCACCGTCCCCGACGAAGACCTGCCGGAATTTTGAGCATACTTGATAGCCACGATGTGAGAATAGGTGATACAGGATTAGTATGCGCAACGAACTCCGGCTCACCTGGACATGGCAGAGGCGTCTTTGTAGCCTGATATCTTTGAAGAGTGTGGGCGGTCACTGTCATGATCGACCTCGTCGACGTGTTCAGGGACCTCGAGATCTGGGGAACGACCGCTGAAGTCGACGCATATTGACTCGCCACTGGTAGGGTGCATGTCAGTCGCAATGCCTGGAGGCGTGACAGGGGATCAGAGTTCGCGAGGCTGTGAGGCCACGGCGGTGAGAGGGGCCATTTAACGCGTGCGTGTGGATACTGGTGAGCTGCGTGCGTGCTATTTGCCCCAAATTATCTTAATTAGGCATTACCCTTGTTTGGAAATACGGTTCGACCCGAGACTCTCCCTAAATCGGCAAAGTAACCTCTGTCCTGAAACATTCTTCATGATCTGTCCAAAATCTGTCACCTGCATTCCTTTATCTCTGAGCTCAAGAGTCACGGTCATTCAATTTACTCCTACGGCTATGCACATATTCGCACTCTTTGCGGCTCGCATCACCATCGATGGTCGCGCTCGGAAGGATTGGAGCGGGACACGGATACACATCGACAAGCAGGGGCACGGGAGGGCATGGGGCGGTCCGACGAATGGTTGTATCCAGTCCCATCACTAGCGCCTCAGTCAGGTCCAGTGCAAGCTCGACTCTGGAAGATCACGCCGGCCTTGAGACTGTGATCTGTTAGCATGCCGCTCTCGTGCAACGACAGCGCGTCCATGGTCTTACGCGAAGTAAACGAGCGCATGTACCAAAACTGCTTCATACAACGCGAGCGAGTCCACTGCCGGAGATCTCTACAAAGATATCGGAGTGGTTCTCGTACACTCTTGAATCGTTCAACAGTTCTGTCGCATCACTAAGTGTATTGAACGAGTGAATGTTGCCAATGTACGGTTGTCAATGTTACTCTCGGAAAGTCCACGCAACATCCTCGCATTGACAAATTTTAGGTCGCCCATAGTGCTTCATCGTGAGTAGCTCTGCCAGAAAGTAGACTCACGCTGTCACAATGTAAGATCAACGAAGTGCGCTCCCCTCGAGCCGCGTTCCGGGCCTCTCGGGCTTGCGCACCGAATGGTTCGCAAACCTCCCTACCTCGTCTGTAGACGGTCACTTGACGTGGGGTGGACAGGAAAGACACGTCTGAGATATGGCGTAGTACGTTATCATGCAGAGATTGTGAGCTGCACGGTTGAGCTTGAAGTTGCACGATCTGGAGTGGGTGTCAATGGCACCGGCAATCAAAGCATAGGATGCGGTGGGCCCTGGCAGGTCCCGCAGATACGCGTAAATTTCCTCGCGGACTCATATGAATCAGACATTCAGCCATCCATAGACACGTACACCATGCTTCTATTGCCTAGAATGGAGGCCCGCTCTGACACTGCTGTTTCAACCCCAACCTTAGAAGACGCCGGAGCGCCCGACGGCCTTACGACATCAGGCACAATTTGCAGGCACGCTCGAACACTAGCCAAAAGCGATGTTGCTTTCGTGAAACCAAGACCCCCTACTATCGTAGCGGGAGTCGGTTGTCATTCTGCGGGGAGTGTACAAGGG